AAATATAGAAGTTATTTACATTATAAACACGAAAGAAACGTATTTCTTATCTATATCTCATTTTTCTTTCTACAAAAATATTAGCCTTTTACAATGATATCAATGTGTGACATTTTCTTCTAAATCATTACGAAATATTTGTGAAAAATGAAAAAAATTGTCAATATCTTTAAAAAGATATATTTTAAAAGATTAAAAGATTATATCTATGAAACGAGTACTTTAAGATAGCTAATTTTAAATAATAAGACTTAGAAACGAATGAATAATGTGCAGTTATGGCAGTATATTTTTCATAGGTATCCATAAATTTTACATTCTAAATATTTAATAGTAAAAAATCGGCAACATTAGTAAACTAAGGACGAGTCATCATCATTAGTTCAATCACGACTAATATCTCCGCCTTATGTAGGTTACCTTGGTTATGTTAGTTACGCTTGACTCTTAGAATTTAGGTTGGCCATATGGTGTATGGAATCGTCCCGTTTCTTTCTTAGCTGGTTATTAATATCGCGCTGTCTCGTTCGTGCGAGTCGTTCCGATCGAACTATTCACTCGTTATGCATGACGTTTCTTAAAAATGCATGCTTATTATACATCAGATATATCTCTATCCAATGGCATTACTGGCCTTTGAAATATTCCATTAATAAACGGATATACCCTTTTCTTTTATAAAATATTTCATACAAGAATGAAAGGTTTATAAATTTCACTTTAAAGTAAAAAAGTGGAGATTTAGATATAAATTTTTCAAGGTAACGAAGAAAATGTAACATATTTTCTTTTAAATATTAGCCAAACTGACGAATGATTGTTAATCTTGTCATAAAAGCATATATCTAAAACTCGCGTTAGAAATTGTGAATTCGTTGTATTTTCGTAATGAGTCTTTTCTATTTCCTGTTTTACATCGGCGTGTTCCCACGCGTGCGGATCGAAATTTTACAGTGATGACATGCCGAATGATCGTACCTCATCAATTCATAGAGAGCTATACAAGCCACATTAGATTTATGCGGCGTTAACTAGGTACTGCGTGGCATAATCCACTCATGAGAACACTCTCGTTAACCTTTTTATACCGCTACAGCGATTTGCGTATCTTCGGAATGTTCTCGTACTGATTATCTGTATTGCGTAGCAGCTATAATTGTAGTCTGCTTAATTAAGTTTAATTAAGGACACTGATTTTCTCATCTCTTAGCGCACTTATTTAATATACACAGATCCGCCCAAAATTAAATATAATCTCCAAAATATCCATTAAAAAAACAAGTGTATTACAATATAAATAAAATAATAAATATAATGATAGTAGAATTTCAAAATATTAAAATGAAAGTATAAGTAAATAAAAAAAATAAGTAAAATATTAAATACAAAATTGTGTTGAAATGTAAGAACAGGCACGATTCATACAAAATATCTGTGTGAAAAAATACATATAAGCTATATTTTGTTGTGAATTATAATTTATTCAAAATAGTTTCTCTTACTTACTATTTTTTTGTTTAACATTTTAATGCACACACATATGCAATCGCGTTTCTAAGGAAGTGAAACGCAATCTTGTAATTAAAAAAATTAGTTTCTTTAGTACTTTGATCCTTATCTCCTTTGATTGCGGCGAGCGTGTATGCGTGTCACACAAGAGCAGATTATGACGCATTGCGTGTAGCGAGCACGAAATGTGTGTAAGATACGAATGCGGAAGTGGCCTTCATTGACTTTTAGGCAGTGCCCGTACCATTTTACCGTTGTCCCGAAGAGTAAACGACCGTATAAAGACACCGATGCGTGGTCTTTAGAGTGGCTGCGTCGGTCCATCGAGAGCGAGTGGGTGATGCGTTTGGAAGCGGCCGCGACGAAAATAAATCCTCTGACTTCCTCGCGTAAACGCACATCGTGCGTGCACGCTTGTTGTCACGCGCGTGTCCATTCGTGGGACGAGAATAATCGGCTGCACGTTCGAATTTTGTGCACGCGATCGACCGATCTGCTCCTCATTTCTCTTCACGTAGGAAGTGAATGCGTCATTATTCATGCATATGCATAACTCACTATAAATATGCGCTTATGACGAACCTCCTTCTCTTCATCCGGATATTATGCGACGTTGAATACGCAAAAATACGTTATACATTTTCATTTTGAATTCTTTTTCATTTGGTATTTTATTCTTGAAATTGATAGAATATGGCTTTAAATCGTTCGAACAAAATCCATAGGAGAGTAATAAACATTATCAGATGTTAGAATAGTGAATTTTTAAATTTACACAAATCTGAAGGTTTCGAACTTGTTCTTGTCTTGTGATATTTTTCGTGAATTTTACTTATCTTATTAGTTTGTTTTTCCTTGAAAACTATTCTTCTTGTTTTAGCTACCAGAATAACAAACTTCGAAGCAAACTTCGAATTTTTCTTAAAAATACATACGCTC